ACATATGTTTCATATGTTTGTTGTTGTTTGATTTATCATCTACGGGTTTATGTCGAATTAATTTGATGGCCTGCTCCCAGTTGGCTTGTTAGCTCAATTGGTAGAGCGCTGCACTAGTATCGCAGAGGTCAGTGGTTCGAATCCCGTACAGGCCTGAAATTTTTTTCAGGTCTGATTTTCACTATTGCTCAAATAGTGCTTTACTGCGAAGGATCGTGCACATATACGTAAATTAATCCGTCTTCGTCAACGTTTAGTTGACGGAGACAATTCCTTTATTCCTTTAATTTCTGACACCGAATGTCGTTTGAAAGCCCTTCGAACTAAACAAGTCGAAGGAATCATTATTCGTAGTAGAGCAGAATGGCTGGCGGAAGGCAAACCCCCCAGTCGGTATTTTTTTTAATTTACAAAGAACTAAAGCTAAACGATCCCACATCTCTTCGGTTTATGATTCTACCGGTATCGAAGTCTCCTCGCAAGAGGAGATTGAAAAAGCTCATATCGATTTATATCCTCAGCTCTTTTCCGAAGAACCGATAGATGCTACTCATCAAGACGATCTTTTATCTTCTCTATCACGGAAATTAACTTTTGATCAGGCGTCATCTTGTGAAGGCGAGATCACGCTTGACGAACTTACTCTCGCTATGAAAAATATGAGAAGGAATAAATCACCTGGCTCTGATTGCCTTTCGGTTGAATTCTACGTTAGATTTTGGGATCGTTTAGCTCCACATTTACGTCGAGTCTTAAATGCATGCTACCAAACCGGAGAAATGCGTGATTCCATGAAGATGAGCAACACACGCGTTAGTTTTAAGAAAGGAGATTGTAAGAGTCTGAAAAATTGGCGTCCGATTTCCCTCTTAAACTTTGATTATAAGTTATGCCCAAAAGTTCTCTCTCTTCGACTCTCTAAAGTTCTGGAATATATCGTTCACCCTGATCAAACTTGCTCTGTGCCTGGACGCAAATTTACTTCAAACTTACATTTACTTAGAGATATCTTAGATTACATCGACCGCACGAATGAAACCGGCATTTTGCTCAGTTTAGATCAAGAGAAAAGCCTTCGATCCCGTTAATCGTACCTTTCTGCAATGCCTCTTACCTCGTTTCGGTTTTGCCTCGTCTATTTGTTTTTGGATCAACACTTTATGAAATAGTGCCAATATGCGTGTTATTGTTAATGAATAGCTAACCGATGCGATTCCTTTGTTTGGAGGGGTGAGACAGGGGGATTCCCTGTCTCCCCTGCTCTATATTCTGTGCGTTGAAACTCTCGCATGCAAAATCCGAAATAATCCTGAGATCGAAGGCATTTGCTTTCCGGGCGCACATGGTCTCAGCTATAAAGTTGGAGATTATGCTGACGATACGACCTGTATAGTGAAATCTTATCGCTCTCTGCAAGTTCTATTCAACATGATTAATAAGTACGAGCGTGGCTCTGGGGCACGCCTTAAACTCACGAAAACAGAGGCCATGTGGTTGGGGGCGTGGCGTACGCGCGACGACCAACCACTTGGCCTCAAATGGATGACAAAAATTAAAATTCAAGGTGTTGTTTACGGCCGCGATGCTGAATTAGACAACTGGCAGCCAAAACTAGAGAAATTAGAAAAACATCTAAATTTATGGAAATCCCGCTCTCTTTCTCTTGCCGACCGATCGCTCATCGTTAACACCCTCGGAATTAGCAAGCTCGTGTATCTCTCTACAGTTTTGTGTGTCCCGAAATGGGTCATTTCTAAGGTTAACGCTTTAATCTGGCCATTTGTCTGGGTCTGTCGGTTAGCCGAGCGTCCTGCCACCAATCTCTTAGCAATGACAGTCTCGGCATTTTGAATTTCCTGATCAAAAGTAACTCTCTTAAATTAGCCTCAGTAATTTCCAATCTAGATGATCGCGAATCAAAATCCTTTTACTTCGCCAGATACTTTCTAGGCTCTAGGCTTGCCTCCTGTCTTCGAGATAACTCCACCCCGAGTACACAGATCTTGACGCCCTATTATGAGAATGTTCTCTCGACTCTCACCACTCTACGTGGGATTCTCTCCCACACGGAGTGGTGCGATTTATTAATTTTCTTCCAAGAAATGTTATCGAACTCTCTTGAAGGAAAGCTCCACATCTCCAATTCTTCATCGCTTTTGGACTCCCTTCCTTCCGATTGACTTTGATGTTGACAAATTTTGGAATTTAGTACGAGATGACTTTTCTGAAAATCATAAGAACGACATACTCTGGAAAATTGTACTTCGCGCTATTAAGCTCCGCGACTCTCTAAAGAATTGGGGATATATCGACTCGGATGAGTGCGCCTTCTGTTCCCGTAAAGAAACTATAGATATTGTTTTCTCAATTGCCCCCGTGTGAAATCTGTATGGTCCCACTTTTCCCTTGTTATCTCCTCTATCCTCGACTTTGTGATGCTTTTTTCATTTTAATCATTTACAAGTAACAAAATGATTTCTTGTGCGATTTGGTGTAATTGAGCACTTGCAACTTTTTCCTGAACCATAAAGTTTGCTGTGTTTAAAAAATTTATTTGACCTACTAACTGACTGCAAATTGCACTCGAAATCATGATATTACCTAAACAAAAATCAGTCCAAAGCGACTCTACCAGTTCGTGAATTAACGTTACCTTTTGTTTTCTCTGCAATATGGTAGGCTGTTTAGAATTTTCTGATATGGTGAGCTTACTTCCCATTGTACCACAACTTCCTTGGTCAATCTTTGTTATCTCTCTGATGGATTTGTGAAAAGGTAAATTTTCGGCTGACGGCAAGACTTAAAGAGAAATTTTCCTTGTGGAGGTGGCAAGATGTAAGGGCCGTTCTAGACAGTTGCAAATTGATGAAGGTTCGAAAGTACGTCACAAGTCAAATTCGTTTAAAATGATCAACGCTGTAAGTCTGCTTTTTGACATTTTCAAAGACATTCATCATTGTATGAAGTGTAACATTTGTATTGGTAAAAATTCTTCCACGAGTAAATAATGATCTTCTAAATAAGGACGGCAGTTCCCTCCCTTTTTACGTCATAACATTGGCCCAAATAAGGATGTGTTCGCGAAGCGTTTCAATTAAAACGCGCCTGCGAGAGAAAAAAATTGTCGCTCACTAAATTCAAAAACATTTCAACACCACTCGCTTTCTAAAGTCCTGCCGTGATACAGGCTGTTGCTTCGTTGTAATCTTCATCCCCGAGAAGCGGGCGTATTAGAGAAGTAATTAAACACTACCCAACCAGCACTCCCTAGCTACCAAACGCAAATGAATCACAGACCCTGTCATTCTACACACCAGATTTTCCTTACCGCTCTCAGAAAATTGATTGAAAAACATTTCACAACTGAAGTCACAGACCATTCTTTCAGTACGAAACTAAAGTCAGCTGTAATTGTATCGCAACCATTATGTTCTACAATTTCCACTGGCCAAACTTGACCTGCTAAGGCTTAATCACATAAAATAAAAACAAGACAGGATTTAAAATATATACTAGCTTACACTTTGCCTTCTTTGTTTAGCGAAGAAGGTAAAACTGAACACTCGGCCGAGTCGTCATTTTATTTTAAATCGAAAAACTTTGCAAACATGAAGTCTGTGTTAAAAAATCACTTGATGCGTAAACAGGATTTTTCCTTCACAAATAAACAGACGGACGGGAACAACTGTATAAACTTACTCTTGGAAAAGGCTTGCCCGGGGGCGCTCGCTGGGTGCGGGAAGGTCGGAATCCATTACGCGTGTTGACTATCCTTGAGACAATGATTAACCACCACAAAGTTGGCTCCAACGTAGATTTATTCTGCAACGCCACTGGACTGACGTGGCCCTAATCTGCCCTGACCTAAGCTAGCTTGACCAAAGAAAGCTCTAGAAAACAGCTCTAATTAAGCCCAATGTACAAAGGATTAGGTTATGGTTTGAGTTATCTAAAGAATCACGTAATCTAGTACAACGATTGGCTTGGCAGGAATTTTGCCTTTAACAAGACTAATTACTTTCGAAAAGTTCGGGTGGATAACAACTACACTAAAGGCCACGACAGGTGACGGTTACAGTTTGACACTAATTACAGTTATGATCTAAGAACAACTGTTTACGTTTGACTGAATAGGAATTGGTAGCATTTACGCTTTGCTGAGCTTAGCAAGATCTCACCGTTTCTACGTTGAATTCTATATATTTTTTAGCGATAGCATAAAAACTCGTTAACTTAAAAATCCTATCGCTACATCAAGTCACGCCCGAAGCTTCTCCCAAGTTTATTCAACAAGTTGGGAGGAAAAAACCCTGGATACAAGGTCTAATAATCACATATTCTAACTATTCACGATCGACATCTAACAAAACTCTATGAGAAAACGCAGGAAGCTCTGCATTCACTGAGCATGCGTGAAGGACAACCTGTCTGAATTGTTCTTGGTCAGGCTTGGCTCCTTTGTTAAGAGGATAACTCACTGTCCCATTAAGTCCAAGGTGTCGTGCCATCACAACTGCAGTTTAATCATCCTCAGCTTAGGATTCAATGTTGTGGTGTAATTCCAGATAATCTTCTTTACTGATCACACTGAGCCCCATGTATCCTACCCCCAAGGGCAGCTGCCAATAGCGGTGTCCAACCCAATGGATGTCTTGGCTCAATATCAGTCATGTGATTGACCAGCAGCTCAATGACATCAACATGACCACCAGATGAGGCCCAACGTAACGAATTCGCATCAAAGTTGTCTCGTGAAGACAGATTAGCTCCTTTACTGATCAGACACTGCATCGCATTTACATTACCCACGCTAGCAGCTAACAATAGCGGCGTCTTACCCGAGACATCTTTTGAGTCGATATCAGTCATGTGATTGACCAGCAACTCAATGACATCAGCGTGATCACCCCATGAGGCCCAATGTAACGAATTCCATCCAGAGTCGTCTGATGAAGCTGGATCAACTCCTTTGCTGATCAGAAACTGCACTGCCTCTACCTTACCCATAGTAGCAGCTACCATTAGTGGTGTCACACCCCTGACACATCTCGGCTCAATAGCAGTCATATGATTGACCAGCAGCTCAATGACATCAACGTGACCACCAGATGAAGCCCAATGTAACGAATTCGCATCAAAATTGTCTCGTAAAGACGGATCAGCTCCTTTACTGATCAGACACTGCACCGCATTTACATTACCCATAATAGCAGCTACCATTAATGGAGTCACACCCCTGACACCTCTCGGCTCAATATTAGTCATGTGATTGACCAGCAGCTCAATGACATCAACGCGATCATGCCCTGAGGCCCAATGCAACGAATTCCATCCAGAGTCAGCTGATGAAGCCGGATCAACTCCTTTACTAATCAGACACCGCACCACCTCTAATCTACCCATAATAGCAGCTACCATTAGTGGCGTCACACCCCTGACATCTCTTGGCTCAATATCAGTCATGTGACTGACCAGCAACTCAATGACATCAACGCGACCACCATATGAGGCCCAATGTAATGAATTATGTCCTCTGTTGTCTTGTGAAGCTGGATCAGCTCTTTTACTGATCAGAAACTGCACCACCTCTACGTTACCCTCAACAGCAGCCACTATTAGTGGTGTCTCACCCGAGGCATCTCTTGGCTCAATATCAGTCATGTGATTGACCAGCAGCTTAATGACATCCACGTGACCACTACATGAAGCCCAATGTAACGAATTCATCTCAAGGTTGTCTCGCGAAGCAGGATCAGCTCCCCTAGTGATTAAATACTCAATCGCCTTTACCTTACCCTCAACAGCAGCTACCATTAGTGGCGTCCTACCCAAGACATCTCTTGAGTCAATGTCAGTCATGTGATTGACCAGCAACTCAATGACAGCAACGTGATCACCATATGAGGCCCAATGCAACGAATTCCAACCAGAGTAGTCAGATGAGGTTGGATCAACTCCTTTGCTGATCAGACACTGCACCGCCTTTGCCTTACCCCTCTTAGCGGCTACCATTAGCGGTGTCCTACCCCTGTCATCTCTTGGCTCAATATCAGTCATGTGACTGACCAGCAGCTCAATGACATCAACGCAACCACCATATGAGGCCCAATGTAACGAATTAAGTCCTTTGTTGTCTCGTGAATCTGGATCAGCTCCTTTACTGATCAAACACTGCACTGCCTCTACCTTACCTTTCTTAGCTGCTACCTTTAGCGGCGTCTTACCCCTGTTATCTTTTGGCTCAATATCAGTCACATGACTGACCAGCAGCTCAATGACATCAGTGTGACCACTATAGAAAGCCCAATGTAACGAATTCTGTCCACTGTTGTCTTGTGAATCCGGATCAGCCCCATTACTGATCAGACATTGCACTGCCTCTACCTTGCCATACTCAGCAGCATTCAGTAGTGGCGTCCGGTCCAAATTTCCTCTCGAGTCAATTCAAAGTCCACCAGAAAGCAGGGACTCAATGTCAGTGACATCGCCTTTTCTTGCTGCAGAGCAAAGCTGATCAACACTTGCCTCCATGTCTTGGTTTGCAGAAGTGTCACCTACGATAGAATTTTTAGAAAATGGAAAAAAAAGGGAGAAACATCACCTCAGCTGGGTGAGATGGGAGAATTGTAAGAATATTCCAGTGACTGTAGTATGAGGAGTTGCTCTTATGATCTTATCGACTCAGTAAAAGCACAGAGGGCCCATTGAACTCTCTATGAGAAGATAATATTACGAAGGTTTCTGTGGGAGTTTAGGCTCTGCTCTATTTTGTTCTCTGGTGGTGATTTCAGGCCATTTCCTCGAGTTAGCTGAGCTCTCATCCCACTCCTGCCTGTTTATGGCTAAAAATCGACCAAATGGCTTGAAATCGCTTTCAGAGAACAAAAATAACACAAACCACACTATCTGAAGTTAAAGTTTATTTGCTGTATTATTTCCAAAGTTACAGAGTGGAGTCTTAAGTCATATTATAAGCTTCATAATATTATCCTCTCATAAACATCTTATGCCCCTTGTGGTAAAAGTAAATAAAAAAATTTCCTTAATTTACATTTTAAACAGCTTTTTATAGAAGGCAAGGCTTTTAGCCAACTGACAATTACAAAGAGAGTTGTTGTACAAAGATTGAAGAATTTTCCTTACTTTGAAGCCCCAGCTCAAAGTTTAGCATCTCCCTCTTTTATTTCTTTTCAATAGTTGAGTCCCTTGGCAACAAAGTGTACATGTATGTCCCTTCATGAAATAAATTTTTCGCCAACAAGCCTAATTTAAATAGCAAAAAGCTTACTGGCACAGCAGAGAATTCATAATCACATAATTTCTCTCCATTTGCACTCTGGCAATACTATTTCAATAACAAATTTTTTTCATCATGAAACAAACCAAAAGTAACTTATAAAAATTTTGCCAACAATAGCATTCTTGCATTACATATTAATTCATCCTTCAGCCCCCCAATCATATAAAGTGCTAGCTTTATAAGTTTTACTTGGTGTAACCTTTAATAACTGCCTGACCCCATTAATTCTTATGTACATGATAGCACAATTTTATGCACACCTGTCTTAGACTGCTGTCCATCCTTATCTTTGGGAGCCTCTGTCACTTGCAGAGGGAGCTGCTTTAGGTGCATTCTTTAGAGTTTGTTTCCCTGGCAATGTAAATTTTGTCAGAAAATAATGTTTACAAAGGCTCTTGATATTAGCGGGCAAGTCAAGAATTTAAAGAAAAAAAAGCAAAAAAACTTTTCAATCTGTAATACATGTTTCAAAAGAAACTTCTGTCATCTTCAGTTAATTACAGTAACTGTACAAAGTATTGGAAGTTGAATTAAACAGTATTTTGTACGTAGAATGCCAATTATGATGAACAGTACATATGATGCACGATCCTCGCAGTAGATAGCGCTATTTAAGCAATAGTGAAAATCAGACCTGAAAAAAATCAGGCCTGTACGGGATTCGAACCACTGACCTCTGCGATACTAGTGCAGCGCTCTACCAATTGAGCTAACAAGCCAACTGGGAGCAGGCCGTTAAGTTGACTCGTAATAAACCCGTGAAAGTGATAAATCAGATACAATGAAATATATGAAGTTCATATATTTTGAACTGCGGTATTAGATACATATGATGCACAATCCTCGCAGTAGATAGCACTATTTAAGCAATAGCAAAAATCAGCCCTGAAAAAAATCAGGCCTGTACAGGATTCGAACCACTGATTTAACACTTTCACGGGTTTATTACGAGTCAACTTAACGGCCTGCTCCCAGTTGGCTTGTTAGCTCAATTGGTAGAGCGCTGCACTAGTATCGCAGAGGTCAGTGGTTCGAATCCCGTACAGGCCTCATTTTTTTCAGGTCTGATTTTCGCTATTGCATAAATAGCGCTCTCTACTGCGAGTATCGTGCATCATTTAAAACTAAAATCAAAAACACCTGTTGCTCTCAAAGAGTTTGAAATAATTTTCAATGAGAACTCCGTGGTAATAAGGATAAGAATAATTTTATTTGATAAAGTCTAAAACATAGGAGTGATCGCCCAATCTCCCGAGCCAAAGGCTTGTTTTTAAAAACGCTTGTTAGCTGAATTGGTAGAGCGCTGCGCTAGTATCGCAGAGGTCAGTGGTTCGAATCCTGTAAAGGCCTGATTTTTTGTTTTTGTCTGATTTTCACTATTGCTTAATTAGCGCTATCTACTGCGAGGATCATGCATCATATGTATCTAATACCGCAGTTCAAAATATATGAACTTCATATATTTCATTGTATATGATAAACAGTCATAACAAGAAAGGAGGTAAAGCATGAAAGTGTGAGAATTAAAAGGACAGTTTCAGGTTTACATGGTGTAATTGTTGATTCAGGGATGGTTGTTTTATTTTATTTCAATATGAATAGCCTCTTTTATCTATTTACCTAATTCAACTTCTGATGCTTTGTACAGTAATTAACTGAAGATGACAGAATTTTCTGTCGAAACATGTATTACAGACTCAAAAGTTTTGTCGCTTTCTTTAAATTGTTGTTAGAAAGTAACTATGCATAAAGTTATGTGATATCAGATATTTATAGAATATATTACCAATTATTAAAACCTGGATCATTGGATAATGCAATTCAAGACTTTTTATTGGCTTAGCCATTATGGTATATGAGCCAATATACCATAATCTAATATCTGTACATTGTAACATCCCGTTTCTTCTTAAAAAATAAAGTTGAGAAGATTTGTCTAATACCTTGAGGGCGTTTTTTTGAAAAAACAATTACTCCACTCGCGCTTGTTGGATATGAGATGATTATAGCCAACTCGGTGTTACACTTCTCATTGGCTATCTACCATCTCATATCCAACATGCGCTTGTGGAATAATTGTTAATTAGAAAATGCAGATAAATGATTCACTGTTGAATAAAACAAGCTAAATATTGAAAAAATAAGAGAGTTTCTCCAGTTTCCAACTCAAAATATCTTTTCTGCATGTAGTGAACATTAACCAGCAATGATGCAAATCTTAACCTACTCTAAAGATTAATTATAACGTCACGGCGAACCATCTTTATCATCACAGCAGTTTCATTATTCAGATAAAATAATAATTGTTTTTTTCAACTCAGAACATTACTCATTTCAGTATGAATTCAGCATTTTTAAAGGAAAATTTTTTTAAATTTAGAACCTATTTTTTCCCTAGAAATTGAAGAAGCTTTCACACAAATCTCTCTATTTGGTGCATGGAAAATGGAAAATGGAAAATATCTTAAAATGCAAAATGTTTTAAAGTTGTCCTCATTGTTGTCCTTATATGGATCAGGTATAGATTGTTGTATAATGATATCATTATAGTTATTATTTTTGATTGTTGTAAACAACTGTAATCTATTCTTGCATGGGTGTGTGTAATTGGCAAATGAAGAAAATAAAAATAAAATGAATACATGTAACTAAGTCTGTAATCTAATGATGCACTGAGAACCTTATAATTTCTCCTGCTTATGTTATATCCAAGGGTTTCATTAAAATTTGGAGTAGGAGGGCATCTGGATTTCACAGGCGGCCATCTGTCTGCAAAGCCCGAAGGGCCTTGCCTTCTAGGGGGGTCTGGGGGCATGCTCCCCCTGAGATTTTTGAAATTCTACAGTTGCAGAGATGCATTTTCCACCATTTTGAAGCACAAACTAACATCCAAAGGTTACCAGCTCTTTTTAAATTATGATTTGATGCATCAGTCAACAGATAAATTAGTTTCTCAACACAAATTAATAATTTTTAATGATTAAGATCTCTACATTGACTTGCCCCTTACCAAAACGTGTCATCAATAAAATTTACATATACAGGTATACTCATTCTGTACGTGTAATGATGTAAAACCCAGCACATATACATTGCATCAACTACATTGTCTTACCTACATTGCATTGTCTACTGAACAAGAACAATGATTAATATTGAGTAGAAAAGTACTAAATGCTACTCCAAGTCACTGTCAGCATCTGAGCTATAATCAGAGTCAGGATCAGAGTCTACATCTGGAAGGTCCAGCTGTTTAGCAACCTACTGCACCTCTTCTTCAACTCCTGTTGCATCTAAAGTCAATTCATACTCAGTTGCCACAACATCATCTGTTTGGATCTCAGCATCTCTTAGGGTGACAATCTCAGTGACTTGTCCAGTATGAGAAGACTCATCCTGATTTGTTTGCTTCGCAATCATGCGAACCTTTAATATTTTCCGTCTGGGCTTGCTTTGCCATGCAGTGATAGCAGCAGTCATCAAGTTGTCAAAGTTCTTAGTACCAGCCTCAGGCCCGTTGACATGGATTTGCATCAGACAGCTCAAAATGTCATTCTTCAAAGTACTCCTTAACCTGCTCTTGATCAATTTGAGGGCACTGGCATCTCTCAGGCCATGCATTAGAGACAGGTAAAGAGACTATGTACTCAGCTACTTTAGCTAAGAGTGAAAGAGTGCGAGGGGACAAGCTGTTCATGGTAACAGTCGCTGTAGGTACCAATCAGTTGGAGTGATCACAGGGCTATCCTTAGAGTTGGTTGGTTGCTTGATTTCGTCTGGGATCTCATTTCGCCACTGTATCAGCTCATACTTAAAGACTCTCCATTCATCCTTCAGTTGTTGGCAATCCTCTTCACTGCTGAAGTAGTGCTTCGCTAGTTCTTCCACTTCTTTACCACTGTACTCAAGAAAACCATGCTGTCCTCGAGAGGGAATTTGTGCGGGATCGAAAATGGCATATGCAGATAGTAGGGGAACAGCATCAGAGAACCTATCCTTGATGTTGTCCTTAACCGATTGTATGTACTTTTGCAAGAAATGTCTGAGATACAACTCGCTAGCTTCGGTCAGAGTGAGCTCTGCAAGGTGTAGTCTTTCGGGTTGCTTCAGGGATGTGGCAAATTCAGAGACTGGAGATGCTTTCTGAGCAATCTGAACAAGGTCATCAGTAGTTTTCTGGATGACAGGTTTCACGTAGGCAAAAGACACTTGACTATGTTGCTCATCTTACCTGCAAATTAACTTCCTCAGTTAATTTGCAGGTAAGATGAGCTTCATTATCATTACAACTCCAAGAAATTTGACATCATGCATTTTTTGCAGAAGACCAGCCGCAAAAGCATCAGTACTCTGCAACTTCCTAAATGTGTGAATTAGGGGTAGATAGTCATTACAAACACCCTCAACAGCTTTGTTTAGTAATAACCATCCTCGGAGACCCAGGGGCTGTGGGTCGATTTCAAGGTAGGGCATGAAAAGCCCCTGGGGACATTGTCTTACAAGACTAGTTCCAAACGGTCGCAGTCGTTCTGCCATCTGATTGGTGCCAGAAAATCTTTGTGTTTTTCTGCCCAATCAGAGTGAAGTGTGCTTTGGAGTCCTTTCGTCTGTTGTAACACGGACAAATACTAATAGCTCAGTTGCTCGCTATGTTTGTTGGGGCCATGCGACGGAGATTTGCTTGAGGTGAAAAGTTTCAATCTTAGCACACAATGTAAGAGAAGTCCATCAGATTATCCGCCAAAAACCTCACTGCAAATTATACTGAATACTTTCGCAGGTATCACTAGAGAACATGTTTTAAAGTTTGCGAGGTTTGTATACAACACGATGGTTGAGTCATTGAAATGCCGCTTTAAACGTTACACGAGATTTAAGCTTAAATCTTTACTAGATTTTTTGCATAATTTGCTGTGACTGTAACTTTGCCAATCCCCTGAAGTTATTTCGTCGCACGGGCCACGCAGGTATGTCGAGCAACTGGTACTTGCGCACTTTCTGTGCGTGCCAAAATCTAATCTCATCTTCGCTTGAAAAAAAAGAAAAGCAAAGCGTGGAAACTGTTGCTTATTAGATGTGGGTAGATGGCCCTGTACTATTAGGCTGACATTTGCAATAAACCAAACCCGCCCTTTCCATCCATTATTTCTTGGTCTTTGGTTTTGTTTTTCCCATTGAAAGCAGCATCGGATCGATTCCCAATGATCAAAGGTATTTCACTTGGTCTTCAACAATCGACAGAAGAGGTGAAATGACAATGACCAAGGGACTAGAAGAGAATCACATCNAGATTTTCGCGGACAATCTGATCGATTTCTCTTACATTGTGTGCTGAGACTGAAACTTTTCACCTCAAGCAAATCTCCGTCGCACGGTCCAAACAAACATAGCGAGCAACTGAGCTACTAGTATATGTCCGTGTTAAAACACACGAAAGGACTCTAAAGCACACTTCACTCTGATTGGGCAGAAAAACACAAAGATTTTCTGGCACCAATCAGATGGCAGAACGACTGCGACCGTTTGGAACTAGTCTTGTAAGACAATGTCCCCAGGGGCTCTTCATGCCCTAACTTGAAATCGACCCACAGCCCCTGGGTCTCCGAGGATGAGTAATAACCATCATCTACGTGTTGCCTTCGCTAGACGCTTTTGACACACCCTCTGAGCTTTGATGGATGGTTCTTGGAGCTGTTTAATGGACAACTGACACTTAAAATAGATGGCCAGGCACTTAGGAGAGTTTTCGAAAAACTTCCAGTTTGGATGAGCCACCTTTCCACTTTTTTGATGTAAACAATTTCGTCATTCGTGTCACAACAGGGAAGGGACAACCTGTGGCAAATACAGTGCACACTACCCAGACTTTTGTTCAGCTCCTTAAGTTTAGCTGCTACTCCGTTCCTTTTTCCTGTCATGACAGAGGCCTCATCTGAACATAACCCTAACAGTTGATCAACCGATAGACCACATTTGCTAAGCTCATCTAAAACCGACTTGGTAATGGTTGCTGCATTGGCAGAATCAGATGACTCAAGTAGGTTCCATACACCCAGAAACTTAGTTTCAGTTCCTTCTGAATCTCTGTTCCAAAACTGTAGGAATATGACCAACTGCTCCAGCACTGCGATATCTGTAACTTCATCAATTATTAAGCCAAATGACTGTGCTTTTCTGACTTGACAAAGAATGGATTCCTTCAGAACACTTCCAAGGGTCAAAGCCAGGTCAATTTGCCCGGTGCCCGGCCCTTAATGAAACCCCTGTATATCTCTCAACTTTTCACTTGGTTCACTTATGAGAGATTATAGATAAATGTTGAATATCAACTAGACATTAATTAAATTATTTAGCCATGCAAGTGTTGTAAAGTGCATATTGTGAGCAGCTGTTAATTGCCTGTTTTCATTAATCAGGATCCCAACCTATTCAAACTTCCTCTTATTTGGAAGGTGATCCACAATATTTTTTGACAAAAAACAACACAAAGAAAGAAATGTGGAACAAAAATTCTCAAAGCTGGAAATCAGCGAAAATTTGATTCCAAATGGGATTGACTTGCTCTGTAAACATTACTAGCTGGTATTAAAAAAATAATTAAAGGAACTCTATTAGCAAGCATATGGAGAAATAAATAACTGGAACAGAAAATAAACTTAGTTTTCAATCACTTATTATGCTGTTAATGAAAGTTAAGAGTTAGTCTCTGTAGGAATCAAACATCTCTGGACAAGAATATTCTCAACCCCCCTATAAATTTTGCATGTAGTTAGGCACTAATTGGAGATGCACAATAATTCCCCTTTTAGAGGTGGTAGCACCCTTGATGTCATGGTAAAAATGGCTGTTTGTTTGAGGCCTTGGACCTCATTTTCACACATTTCCTCCTTTACTCATTCAGCTATTGTTAAAAAGTTATACATAAATTTCCAATGGAAACGAGTGGTTTTTTCTGTATCCCTATTAACTAATTTGAAAGTGACTGAGTTGCTTATTTGAGAGGTCATTAATCTTTAGGGATCTTTAAGGATCGCCAAAGACCTGTCAAGGCTCCTCAAAGACAAGCAACTTCTAACGATCCTAGAGGGATCTTTGAAGGATCTTCAAAGATCTATTTATCCAAAATCATTTGATAAGATCCTCAAGGATTTGATGAAGATTCTCCAAGGATCCTACAAAGATCCTTGTAAAGATCCTAGCAAACTTCTTAGTCAGGATCCTTCAAAGATCCTCACGGACAAAACAAGGATCTTTTAAAGATCTTTAAAGGATCCTACCAAGGATCTTAATAAGATCTATGCTAGGATCCTGAAAGATTTGATAAGGATCTTACAAGAATCCTTGTCAAGATCTTTGCAAGATCTCTGCAAGGATTCTACAAGATCTTTGAGGAAAACCAAGGATTTTTCAAAGATCTTCAAGGCTCCCTCCAAGATCTTTTTAAGATCTTTGTCAAGATCCTCAAGAATTTAATGAAGATCTTACAAGGATCCTTATCAAGGTCTTTTCAAGATTTTTGTAAGGATCCTTCAAGATATTTGAAGAAAAAATGAGGATCTTTCAAAGATCTTAAAGGATCCTTAAAAAGATCTCTTCAAGATCGTTGTAGGGATACTTCAAGATCTTACAGGAAAAAGTGAGGATCTTTCAAGATCTTGAAAGGATGTTTTCAAAAGTCTTAAGATCCTCTAGGGATTTTCACAAGGGTTAGTTCCCTCAAGTTTTTGTAGTATACCTGAAGTGCCAAATTCAGCTACAGACATTTAAAAACAAAATTAATGTGCATGTACAGAACTTATGCCGTGTTAATAATAATTGGCTGAGATAATGAAAATGGAACACTTTATTGTATAGAGCATGTAAAAACAAGTACCTGCTGGTTCCACACCATCATTGCTTCCATCTATGTTTTCTTCTTTTCTATCTAAAGTCCTGGGATCTTTGAAGGAATAAATAAAAATAAATAATAATATGCAGTCACATATTGCAACACTTCTTATAAAAAAGAACACATATTAACTCATCAACCTGCTGCCTGCAATCCTTCCTCCCTTCTCTTTGTTTGTTTTGTTGTTTTATCTGAAGTGTCAAAATCTGCACACAATGAAAATAAAATTTGTGGACTCAGTCATAGGACGCCAACAATATTCCCCAAGAGATATTTTATGAAACAACTCAAGACATACAATTAAAATATTATACCAACATGCCCCTTCCCCCCACATGATGGATGTGGGGTGGAAGGGGCATGTTGAATATATAAGTCCCATACTAAGCTTCATAATATTATCATCTCATAGACATCTTGGGCCCCCTGTGGTAAAAGGTTAAAAAGTTACGATGGATAATTAGATTTCCTTAATCTAAATTTGTAAATAGCCTTTTGTGGAAGGCAAGGTTTCTAACCAACTGACAATTGTGAAGAGAGTTGTTGCACAAAGCTTACAAATTTTTTCCTTCTCTGAAGTCCTGGCTCATCATTTTAACAACAAAACGTTTCCATTACGAGGCAAAACAAAAGTAAATAAATAATTAATAACTAACTTATTAAAAATGCACCAACAATAGCATTCTTGCATTACATAATTATTTATTCACTGTTTTGCTTGCCAGTCATGTAAAGCTAACCCTGAGGCTTCAAGCACTTGCTTTATAAGCTTTTACCTGGTGTAGCCTGTAAAATCTGCCTGCAGACCCCACTGATTGTTATACACACTAAAAATATTCTGATAGCACAATTCAAGGCACACCTGTATTAGACTGCTGTCCATCTTTATCTTTGGGAGCTTCTTTGTCACTCACAGAGGGACCTGTTTTATGAGCATTCCTTAGAGTAAAGTTCCCTGTTCATGTGCATATAATCAGAAAATAAGTATGCATAAAGTTATGGGATATTAGATGATTACAGAACATAAATTATTATCAATTAAATCATGCAGGTAAATGATTCACTGTTGAATAAAAACAAGTTAGACATTGACAAAATAAATCATCTTTAATCATCACGGCAGTTTCATTATTTACAAAACATCTTTGGACATGAAAATTTTCAACCCTCTTAAAATTCTACATGCAGTTGGGCACTCATGTGAAGTGCACAAAGATGTCCTTTTAAGAGGTTGTAGCACTCTTGTTGCCATGGTAAAAATGGCTGCTTGTTTGAGGCCTTGCACCTCATTTTCATAGTACATTTCCTCCTTTACTGACTCAGCTATTGTTAAAAAGTTATAAATAAATTTCCAATGGAAAAAAGTTTTTTTTTTGGATCCCTATTAACTAATTTCAAGGAGACTGATGTTGGGAGGATTGCGTATTTGAGAGGGACATTAATTTGAGAGGGGCCCTTATTCGAGGGGGCGCATTTTTTTCCTACGAGGTAGACGTTTAATCTGGGGAGGGCACTAATCCAAGCATGAAAGCTTATTCAAGGAAATACAGTATTGTGACTTACTCCTCTGGTCCCATCATCTACCACCATTTACGTTCATATTTTCAATTGTTTGGACTCTCAATTATCCACACTACTATTGGGCACAGTCCCCATGAGTCCAGATAATTGAAGTTTTACAGTTCTACCTAATTAATTTCCTCTTATTTAAGTGCCCTTGAGTTTTTCTTCTCCCAGAATGCTTGAAGAGCCAAATTGAGCTACACAGGGTTCTCAATAAGTTTTGATGTAGACGGCTGAAACATCAAACTAGGCGGCGGGAGAAGCAAGTACCACAGGCATGAACCTCTACGAGGGTCTGGCAGCCTGCCCCCTCCCCTCCCCTCCTCCAAAAAACTTCAAAATATAGGTTAGATTTGCCATTTTGAGCCTTTTGGCAAACAAATTTGGTTTTAAGAAATACATTTTTTATTAGAGACAACCATAAATTTGACTGAACATCTTTCTTTTCTTGGAATCCCAATAATGGGACCAGACTACACCCCAGAAAGGGCAGTAGTTTTCTCACCTTCATCTACCTGGCTTTCCGTTCTTCGTGATTTACAGAAATATCAATCAATTCCAGGCTGGCTTGAAGTGGGTTTTCTTTTACTCATGGGTACTCTATAATTAATTACATACTAAGATTTCATGCCTTTTTCTAACACGCTGAACACCATTTCATGCCTTCTTCTAACACGCCGAACGCCACACCGCACTTGTTGACAACAAACACTGGTCAGCGGAATTTCGCAGAAGGTAGAAGGCGCGCATTGGCTTTGTGTAATACGTTTTACTGCTGAAAACGGCTTTCAAGTATTATTCGTTCAATTCACGCAATTTTTAACATTGAAATCTACGTGTAGATACAAAATAAGGAGGCAAGCTTGTCACTGAAAAGTAGGCGGCTCTAAATTTAAGGTAGCCGGTTTTTTAGCCGGCTGCCGGCACTTAATGAGAACCCTGGCTACAGACACTCAAGAACAAATGTGCATGTACTCAGGCCATATCAATCATATTTGGCTTAGCTAAAGAAAATGGAACACCTTTATGTAAAGAGCATGTAAAAACAAGTACCTGGTGGTTCCACACCATTATTCCCTCCATCCATTTTTTCTTCTTTTTCATCTGAAGTCCAGGGATCTTTGAAGGAATATATAAAAATAAATATGCAGTCACATATTGCAACAATTCTTATAAAAAAAGAATACATCCAAATTTTAACACATGTTAAATTAACCTGCTGCCTGCAATCCTTCCTGCCCTCTCTTTGTTTTTTTTGTTGTTTTATCTGAAGTGTCCAAATCTGCACACAATGAAAATAAAATTTGTGGACTCAGTCATAGGAAGTCAACAATATTCCCCAAAGGGTATTTTATGAGCAATGTAGGACATACAATTAAAATATTATACCAACATGCCCCCACCCCCCACTACACACACACACACACACACACACACACACACACACACACAGATACAGACACACAGACACAGGCACACACACACACACACACACACACACACTTTAAATTTCCCACCTTAATATGGTCACCTGACAAAAAAAAAATTCATAATTCATTCATTTACCTTTATAATGGCTAAGATGGGAAAGGACACCCAACTGCACCTCTTTCGATGCTATTTAATATCACATGTATGTATATCATTAAACAATTGATAAGCATTTGTCACATCTGGGTATAGGGCAGCACATTTCCAATTTTACCTGTTAATGACATTGCCTCTTTGTTCTTCCTTCCTGTTGGGTTGACTGAATGGATAGCATAAACTGTACTGCCATCTGCATCTGAAACAATTTTCATTGGTTATATTGATCTGCTAATTCCTTGGCACCTTATCCAAATTTTAGCTCATCGCTTTATATATGGAGAACAGATGTGTATTGGGTAAACAGCAGGAAGGAGAGAAAATTACCATAAAAAGGATGAGAAATGGAAAACCTGTTTTACAATATACTGGGCAGGAATATAGAACTGAAAGGGAGTGAAAGAGGGAGTGGGGAACTCTCTCTTCTCTCTTTCAACTTAATTGAATAGGCTTTTAGGTCAATAAATACCACATAACTGTGTCTTACATTTTCATTATCATGCAACTTAACCTCAAAGTAAACTTTTCAGAAGAATAATTCAGCACCTGGCCTTGTTTTAAAAAAGAGGCCAAGGGTATGAATGACTAAAATGACTAGTTTATTAAACTCTATTGTGGCAAAGGACCTGAATTATCGAGTATAATTTACAATCTTAAGACAACTATTATCTAAAAACATATTTAAATGTTAAAAAGTCCTCTGTTCTCTTTATCCTACATATCTGAACGTTTTGGAAGAGATGGTACTTTTGTGTTTTCTGCCTTAAGTTGTAGTTAGATGCGTGAAGGAGCGAGCTGGGGAGCAGATGGTGTAGCGGGTGGCTGGGGGACTTGATTTTTGCCATGTATTTCTAGCACAGGTCTAATCTTCTGTCATCTAGCCTATCTAATTTACCCACGCTGTAAGGAGTAAGCAAATGACTCAGCCTTGGGGTAAATTATATTGGGAAATTGTCTATTTAATTTATCTAAATTCCAGGGTTCTTCTGCACAACTGCCAAGGGTCAATAGGACTAACAATTTAGAATACACTGCACACCTGTCTGTAATGATCCGTTTCCTTTCTGAGAAATAACTGCTTCTACCTTTGTCGTATTTCCACTTGGATCTGAAAATTGTTCAGTCATGACATACATTACATGGCATTGAATAACATATTCACTTTACCACCAATTAGCTACAACTATTGTGACTTAGTCATGCATGTGAGTGTGTGAGTGAATACTTTGTTAATGTGTCAAGAGATTTAGCTACCAAGTTAATTGGGGACACAAAAAAAATTTCCTATCTACAATACTTTTAAATGATATTCATATAAATATATACAATAAAATATAAAATCGGAGATAAAATCGATATAATCTTTATCATCTACAATAGTTATCAATTTCTTTTTCATTTCATTTTATTATTATTATTATCATTACCGGCCCATTGCAACATAATTAGTTATTATTACTATCAACTACTATTACAGGGTTCTTGCTGAGTTTCTTCATAGGAGGTAAAAAATAAGAAGGTAACTTTGTTACCTCTCCCAATGCTGGGGTGTGTAACCTGTATAGGCCTTCTGTGAAGTCTAGTATAGGAGCAGGTTTTCCACATGTGGATGACATGTTGTCAACCATTATATTTCTCTTTAAATGCTGGGCCTTTCGATTGGAAGCAAGAAGAATGGAATGAAAACACCCTTGTGAACTGAATTCACGGTTTTCTAAGAAATTCCCAGGAATTCCCAGAAATTCCCAACTGTGCAATAAGCTCTGATTTGAAAAGCTTGGAATTACTGGGAGTTTCAGGGAAAGGAAGGTTCCAGTTTGGCAAGGACTTGGAATTCCTTGGAAATCCTAGGAATTCTCAGCCATACAAACTACCTATAAGTTAAGGGGGGTGGAATTCTTGGGAATTTCTGGGAACTGGATTTGAGGCAATTTAAATAACCCTGAAATCGAAATAATTCCAAGAAATTCTAATACCTTGCATGTGAAGGTTTTAGGACAAGGAGTAATTTTAGAGGCTTAAAACTTTGGTTCAATAAAAGATATGCTACACAAAATGTACCAAGAAATATACCTACATGTACATGTTTATCCTGAAATTTATTATTCAATCTAAGTTTTAGTAAATCTTAACATCAATATGCATTTTTTCATAGAGCAGCAGACAGGTATGTTAAATGCAAATTGCCAATCGTCGATTTGCTTTCTAGCCTCAAAGGCCTCTTGGCTTCCATAATCATAAAAGTTTTTTTATGGCACAGATGTGCCAAAATCATAGAACATAATCATAAACATGGGAACGTTTCGGAATGTGCGCATCCATTTGTAGGCGAGAATTCCAACGCACCATAGTCAATTCCTTCTCTTGTACAAATATTTCTTCGTTAAGAGACGCACTTGACTCTGTTGGCACCACTGCTAGTTCAGTGGAAGCGAAAGATTAAGGAATCGAGATGGCTGTGTTAGAACATGCTGCTGAACGCTTGTTACGAAAAAACTTTGTTAATTAGGGTACCAGGTACACTGCGATCATCTTGGTATCTCTTACACTTCCTAAGGTGGTATTCATCTGTTAAAATAACAAGGGTAAATCACGTTTGTAATCACATTCAAAGTTGTGATTGGCTTGTGTTATTTCTCACCTTTGCAGTGAACACATTCAAGTCAAGGTTTCAAGTCTTTGTTTCCTCGACAACTTTTGGCCAAAAATCGTGCATTTGTTGTAGGTTCAATTCTTCTCGATTATTTCTACGTAGAGTAATTCGCATCATTATTTATATCATCGTCAAAAGATGGATCCAAGGTACATCCATCGTCCATTGGCAGGGAACCAGTCAGAAAATTCAAACTAATCTTGCACTTGTCTTGAGACTGCAATTGAGCAAGCCAGCAGATTCTCTTTATAGCCAAAATATCTGCATGATCATACCCGTGCTTCGAAAACAAAGATTAATGGTTCAATGGGAGAACGAGAGTAGCGTGAGTGTTATAAATGAAAACATAGTCGTTGAAGCAGTGGAGTTAAAAGAACTGACAACAGTTCACACATCGACTGGCCGGTACACCGAGCGGCCATTTATAGAGCTACGATTTTGAAAGTTTGTGGTGAGTACAAATTGCGATAGTCAGTACGTGATCAAAACTGAGAATCGATTCGGTCACTTGTATGCTACAGTTTCTTAAGCTTATGCTTTACAATGAAATAAATCCATCAGTAAGCTAAAGGTTTCAATATTTTTTTAGTCACGTTTGACAAGCTGCAGGCCCAGTAAAAAAAGACAAACAGCTGCTTAGTCTGCAGTTTAGGATAACTTCGTTACAATTTATTGTTACGGTTACAACAAGATTTTAATTAAGAAATCGTTTATTTCACTGCAATTCAGGGCTCAAAATTAACGGTAACCCGTTAACCAATGGTTAGTAACTTTCAACGTTTGGTTACTAAAAATGTGTCCTACTAACCCGACATGGTTAGTAAAATTTTCTAATATATTTAAACGTTGGTAGACCTCAGGACAAAGAGCACGTAGACCCGACTCTGAGAGGAATACTTAGAATACTCAAGTTGTTAATCAACTTTAATAAACTCTTTTTAGAGAATGTGCTGTAGATGTACTGTTCTTGACTAATCATGGTAAACAAGAGGGAATTTAAAATAGGTGCATAATTGTCAACATTTTTTAGGTCACCGTGCAATTCCAGCTACTCTTTAATTTGTCCTAGTCGTTATTATCAAAATGTTCAATATTTGAAATATCATAACTTGTGAGCTTGGATACCAAACTTTATAATTTGGTTAGTAAAAGAGATGTCTACTAACCCGAAAAAAATTAATTTCGAGCCCTGCAATTCCACTCTTGGGAGGTGTAAAGTCAAAATTGAGGAGAAATCTTTGAATTTCAAATTGCAGAATCAACATAAACAAACAATATATCATTAAACCGCTGCTTGACAGTTGAATTTTAACACACAAGAGTTTTAGCCAAAGAAGCTACTACCACATAAAATTAAGTCAAAGCCTGGCTCCTGGAGGAAAGGGTAAAATACTATTTGTATCATCATCCCAAATTAAATTATTCATTTAAAGATCATTTTTTGACTGATAGTATTTATTGCAATAGACATAATTCAAGTTATTGTATTTCATGGAAAAGAATCAACAGATTTTATTCACAATTAGTCAAACCAAATTTAATGATTCAAATTTAATGATTTAATGAAGGACTGTTTTAAATGAATAGCTGTAATTGAGGATAATTTTTATGAAGTTTTCAAGTAGAGAAAAAGAATTCAAATGTCATCCTAATATTGCTACATGGTAATGTTTAATAACAATAGCAAATAATTTACATGTAAACCTGAATTAAGCATGTGAATAAATTTCAATGTCTACTTGAATTTTTAGGTGGGAGTTAATCCATGGATTTATTTTATATTAGTTGTCTCAAAGTTTTCCTAAAATTCCCAATAATTCTTAAACACTCCTAGAAATTACTTTAAAATAGTCAGGAATTTCTGGCACGTTTTTGATTTGGTCGCTCTGGGAAGTGATCGGTGCTCAGAGCTGGAATTCCCAGGAATTCCTAAGGATTCCAAGTCCTGTTAGCTATAAATGTGGAATTTTTAAGATTTCTAGGTTTTTAGAAGCAGAGCTGTTGCAGTTGGGAATTCCTAGGAATTCCTGGTCTGAATTTACTGGAAAAAAAATTACACCTCTTATTCGTAGGAACTCTGAGGAATTCCTCACAAAAAAAATTGCCAAGAATTCCTAGGAATTTCAAAATCCATTTCACAAGGACAGCAGGATGGCGGAGGTCATTTTGCAAGACGACTTCCAGGGTTGAATTTGGTTATAAAAGCAGGATTTCTTCAAGATATGATGTATTGTCAAACCGGCAACATGTCATAGATATCTTCACAACATTGGTTGGAAGGAGACTAGTAATATTTTTCGAAAAAAATTAAGAAGTCGTTGCATAATTTTGATAAATATTTCAGTCCTGGGTCTCAGTGAAGTAGCCACTGTAACATTTACTTAAACAGCCAGTAAAAATAACTAGTTACTGGCTATTAACAAGAACCCTGCTTTTATGTTACCATCACCATCATTACTGTAATAATTACAGATAAACAATAATAATTATATATCAATGAAAACACCTACCTGAAACTGAGAAATTTATCACCTGAGACTTTTGAGGCTCCATCATCAAATCCAGAATCATCTGTTCAAATTTCTTGCATTCCCTTTTCCAGTCATGTGTCTTTCCATAATTTCCCCTGAGTCGCAGAGCATTGGTGTGTCTTGTACCTGGTGCCTGTTCTGATAACTCGCGGATTCTCTTGGCCCACTCCTCGGGTGATTCTGAATCAACGACCACTGACATACCACCATCCACCTCCTCCAATGCTTTGGCTATTCCGCACTCCACAGAAATGAGGACAGGAACCGCTGCTGATATCGCCTCAAGCGCAATCAGACCAAATCCCTCAGTCCGGGATGGCACGACAATTACATCTGCTTCAGAAAACATCTCCTCCATTTCTTCATAACCACAATATCCACGAATGGTTAACTGATTGCGTGCTATGTCTGTTTCATCACGAAACCAACTCTCTATCTTCCTGTGTTCGTCTTTTGGTGCGCCGACAAATGTCAATTTAAATTTCCTTTCAAGTGAAGCGATTGCCTTTCCAACTATATCGTAACCTTTCAGATGGAAGTCCTCAAAGCTTCCACGACCAAACATGAATACCCAGAAGTCATTTCTGGTTCGATCTCGGCTCAATTCTCTTCGATGAATATCAAAGTGTTCGAAAATTCCAGGAGTTATTACTTCAATGCCATTAATTCTTCGTTCGAATTTCTGTTGAAGACCTGCACCCACAGCAACAGTCAGATCTGCATTTTTGCAAAGCTCTAATTCCTGTTTATTTTTCCTGTCGTTCTCAGCAATAGCATCGGAGTTAGGCCCGTCTTGTTTAAATTTTCCAAGTGCCTCGCAATAAACGTGAACAAACTGCACCCACTTGCATCTTGCGCTGTCTGCGATAAAATAAGCTGCTAGACCAAATTTCCTGCCGTGGCCCACCACAACGTTGGGATACCGAAGCTCATCCGGTGGTCTTTTGAGACCCTCCATTGGATCAGAAACACCTGGTGGACACTTGGCGGTTATCAAGTTCACTCCATTTTTGATTGCATTTTGTTTCTCGTCCTCGTTCCTATTACAAACATAACAGTGTACTTTGATGTTATTGCTGGAATATTTTGCGAAATTCGCGGCGAACTCTCGATTAAAAGTCGACAGACCTCCTTTGGAAGAACCCCACTCGTCACATACAAACAAAACATTGATATTTCGTGAAACATCGCGAGGGCCCTGTTCTACAACACAATGATATGTCTTGTCCACTTCCTCAACCTTTTTCACATGAAGAGATGGTACTGAAGATCCCCCTCCCATACTGGAGTCTCTCTATGAATGCCCAACATTAAAGCATAGCTAACTATGATTAAAGTAACGAATCGAAACAATTAAAGTGTTGAACGCTGTTCTAGCATTTATCAATTCACCTTTTAACTTCCGTCGTGCGCATTGGGTCTTCGAGTCACGTGATCAATTTTAAAAAAGATGTATTGGGAATGGATCACGGGCATTGGAAAATAAGGATGGAAGAAGGCATAACATATATTATCAAACCTCGTGTCTCTGTTATCTACCTCAGCCTTCAGCCTCAGCAGATAACCCAGATCTCGATGTTGGTAATTCATGAAACCATGCCCAACTTTATCCAATAATTGCTTACAACTCAGCGGTGATTATCGATATACATCCTCTTTTTGAAAGGCAAAATAAAAAATTACCGGAATAAACATATGATAACGAACGAACTTGTCCCGACTTGTCGGTAGAGCTCACTTACCATTTCCCATTTCCTGTTCCCCATTTCTTGTTCTTCATTTCTTGATCCCCATCTCTTGTTCCCCATCTCTTGTTCCCCATTCCTTGTTCCCCATTCCTTGTTCTCCATTCCTTGTTCCCCATTCCTTGTTCACCTTGCAATGACGTCATACTTTATTTACATACCGTTAGTTACCAGGCACCTGGAAGACCACTACGCGATTGATTATCGTAGCTTTCTTGTTAATATTTTGATAGTGATACCGAAAGATGTGGAAAAAAAACCGACGAAAAAGGATTTTTACCATGAGTTGCTCCTCGACCAATTATCAAAGGAAAGATATGGGAGTAAATTAGAGCTAATCGAAGGTACTGATCCCTACGAAATTCCGAAAAAAGATTGGAAAGCCGACGTTGAGTTATGGCCGTCAGTCGCGCACATTGATGTCGGGATGTATCTGCTGTTTTCAAAGAGTCCATACACAGAAGAAGAGTTAAAAAGCTACAAAAGTTTGAAGCGTTATTGAAACTTTTTTAATGGTTGGGTTCGAGAGGTTTTAGTTAAAGATTTTGGCGAAAGAAGGCTCTTAATTGCTAAGGTGAGCTTGCAGCTTCTTGTTGGACGTAAATTCGTTCACTAAAAATTTGATTGGGGCTTCAGCTTTTACCATTGTTTATTTTTCCTTCAACAGGTAAACCACTCTATGCGAATGTCTGAGAAGCGGCTAACTCCTTAGATTATCAGCCACAAAGATGGAAACGTTCTAGTAGCACACTGTTATTGTATAGCCGATCTTGGCGAAAGTTGCTCCCATGTTGCGTCGTTGCTGTGGGCTGTCGAAGCTGGAGCAAAAAAACGAGACTCACTGACTGTAACCGATAAAAAGGCATACTGGGTGCTTCCATCTGCAGTTAAGAAGGTTCCTTACTCTAAGATAAGTGACATTGTGTTTAGCAAATATGGAGGAGTGAATAAGAAAGCAAAAACTGAATCGAAAGTTCCCTA